TCTATAATACTTTCTTGAGAAGCAGATTCCCCAAGGCCACCCACTCAGAACCCAGGCTTCCTTCTGTCCATCTTAGAAGTTTTCTTTCTCTCATTTAATACTTTCAGTCTCTACCTGCATCGGTTTCACTATCATCAGTGTAACAGTTTCAAGTGATGGACTATCCAGGCAGAGCAGGCCATCCAAAATGGGGTGGGAATTCAATAACGGAACTTAGAAAAAATGGGGTATACCGATGAATGTCCATTTTGTATCTGTGTATTCAAAGAGGTTGGGATAGATATATAGTTGCATTCTCTTAATGAATAGAATGATTTGTTCTAATGGTGTTTGTAAATAGGATCACAAGTCCGCATCTTGTACAGCAATTAACCACTAAGAAGAATATATGCAGTGTATTATTTGTTGAAACTGTCCTTCTGATATGATTTGAAACTGTCTCATTGCTATCTGTTTGTCAATAAAACTTTGAAAAAAAATAAAATAAAATAAAAAAAACAAAAACAAAAAAAAAACAAAATGGGGTGGGACACTTTGCCTCTGTCAGATCCAATTATGCAAAATGAATTTGCCTGTCCAGACACTCCTAAAAATGCCTGGCGGGTGGAAGTCCTTCATATTATTCATACATAAATTATCACATAGATTCAAGGTTTTAATATCCATTATTACTAAAGGCAAGGATGCAAGCTAGCCAATGACAGTAACACACACACACACACACACACACACACACACACACACACACACACACACACAAAAGCAGACTGCAAGGTGGTATATGATTCTAGATTAGCAGACTTGGGCAAGAGATTTTCCTGCTGGTTTTGAAGAGGATGCCTTGCTGGGCAGGTCTATGAGATTCCCAAATGGCAGGAAACCTTGAGAGCTCACACAGCTGAGAGTTGGGACCAGCTGAAAGTTATTGTGAAACAGCGACTCCATCTACAGCAATGAGGAGCTGATTATTTCCAGTGAGTATAACAAGAACAAAGAAGAATTTCTGACCCAGGAACCTGTACTCCATCAGTTTTCTCTTTCTCAGCAGAGAACAACTCTATTTTTCCTTGCACGTAGTCCAAAATTAGTAACTATAAATCCCCCACATTTGTGTGAGTATGGATGTATGTGCTTCTTTATTTCTCAGTACGGTGAAAAAATATTTATTGCTGGGTTTGTGTGTGTGTGTGTGTGTGTGTGTGTGTGTGTCCTGCAAAGTTACCCAGGATGCCTGTGAACTTGTGGTCTTTCTACCTCAGCCTCCTGAATGACTATAGCAAAGCACTAACATGCCAGGCCACCTTTGTTCTACCTGTTTTGTTTTTTTTTTTTAAGTGTATGTAATGTTGCAAGGTTTCACTACACAGTTCAGACTCATAGTGATCCTCTTGTTTTCAGCCTCCCCAGCACTAGGATCATAGGTGTGCGCCTCTATGCCCAGACTCTGTGGCCAGCTCAGCCCACCCTCCTGAATGACTATAGCAAAGCACTAGCATGCCAGGCCACCTTTGTTCTACCTGGTTTTTTTTTTTTTAAGTGTATTTAATGTTGCAAGGTCTCACTACAGTTCAGACTCATAATGATCCTCCTGTTTTCAGCCTCCCCAGCACTAGGATTATAGGTGTGCGCCACTATGCCCAGACTCTGTGACCAGCTCAGCCCACCCTGGGGGCAGGACTGGCATAGCATATGGTGCTGGGATTGGAACCTTGGTCCCTGTGCTTGCCTAAGCAGGTGCTTTAGTCAGCTGAGCTATCTCGCTTGCCTCTCCCTTTGTTCTTTTATGATGTTGTTTTTGGTATTTCGGGTCCTTTGCGATGCTATATGAATTTTAGAGTGATGTATTTTATTTTCCTCCCTTTCTTCCTCCCTTCTTCTCCCTCCATCCCTTCTTTCCTCCTTCCCATGACCTGATTTCCTTGTCTTTTATTAACCGGGGATTTATTCCAGGGCCTCATGTGTTCTATGCAGGAGCTCTACCACTGAGCTACACTGTCACCTCAATATTCCCTGCATTGTGATTATGTTATTCTTTCTACTGTCATGATTTTTTTTCTGTTAAATATAAACTGTGCTACTCTTTCCTACTAGTTTCTCTCATTGAAGTTTGAATGGTGTTTTGGGTCCTGTTCTTACTATATGCATAGCACCTAACTTTTGGTTGGCACTTAGAGATTTAAAATAATGCACACTGACAGCTCTGAATACTGGGCTAGTGGTGTAGCTCAGTGTTATAGGCCTTGGCTAGCATGGATGAGGACCTAGGTCTCAATTGCAGCACTGGAAAAAATAATAAAAAGAAAAAATGAAATATATATACATATCCTCCATCTCTGAGACTTAGGATCTTTGCTTTTAGTTTTCCTTAATGATGCCTAATGCATAGAGTGCCAAATGCCTCATATTTTTTTCTGCTGGCTCAACATTTATTAATTACACATGTACAACTCTGCATTAGGCACAGATGCATACGATGTCAGTGAGTAGAAAAATTACTTGTGTACACCTTTATTTATTTATTTTTTAATGATTTTTTAAATTTTTTATTATTTATTTATTGCAGAACGGGGATTGAACTCAGGCCTTTGTGCTTGGCAGGGAAGCACTTAGTCCACTAAGCCATCTCCCCAACCCTGTGTACACCTTTAGAAAGCAATATATTTATATATTTTCCACTCGTCCTATCCCAAAATTTTACCCAAGGAAGAGTATGAAGCATTTACAGCATGTTATTATTCAGGTAAAATGCTATTTAAAATAGCTAGATACAGGCAATTACAACGTTGGAATCCACCCTTCAGAGGAAACAAATTCTGTGGCACAGTTTCAAGTTCGTGATGTCAGTTAATGAGAGCATAGGTTTCCTTACATCGTGCTTCTAATCCACATTTTCACTGAGTCTCTACATAGTTGTACAGATCGGCATGGGAAGACGTGACAGCTACACTTAAAAGCCCTCAAATGGCAGAGACAGCCATACATCCGCTCCTGAAATGAGCACCCCTGTGTAGCTGGGGGAGGCGTGGGGAGACGTGGTTTGCTAAGGCCGTGGACTCTTTCTTGTTCTCTGATCACTGCTGGGCTCAAAGCACCTTCGACAAGGCGAGTGTTTAGTAGATGGAAACAAGGCCCAATAATTGTGATATGGTCTGTCTCTCTCTCTCTCTCTCTCTCTCTCTCTCTCTCTCTCTCTGCTAAATGCATCATATGCTCAGCACAATTTTCCAGCTTCTGTTACGCCCCCAGGATCCCTGTGTGGGTAGCTACAGGGGCAAGTTGTTCTTCCCACCCCTGCATTGAACTAGACACGCAGCTTTGGCTGGAGCCTCCTGGGAAGTGTGCAACTGTCTAAACTGAGGATAGTCTCAGTGTTCAACTCTTAACCTCATATAAATTGTACTTTTCATCTTCCTTCCTTGTTATGCCTTATATCTAAATGTTCCCCCAAAGCCTCATGTGGTCATAGATTTTTGTGAGTGGCTGGATCTAGGGTACATGATGCTGGTATTAAGGGTATTATGCTGGGATTAAGGGTGCCTCAACCAAGGTGTGAGTGCCACCCACCCTTTAGGGAAGCCCTGGATGGAATGTAAGGGACAAAAAGAGTGCATGCTACTGCTGCTACCTTCTGCCTACTCGGCCATGCCTATTGGTCAGGCCACCCTGCCTTGGAGCCAGCCAATTGTGGGTAAAACCTTATAACTTGTGAGCCAAATGAAACCTTTCCTCCTTTAACTTTTATTTTTTTGTGTGTGTGCATTTAGTATGGAGTCTACAGGGTCTCACTACATAGATCAGACTTGTAGTGGTTCTCCTGTTTTCAGCCTCCCAAGTGCTGGGATTATAGGCATGTGCCACCACGCCCAGTCTCAATTGCCATCTCAGTGCACCCTGGGGACAGGGGTGGAGGTAGCACAGCAGGCCGGGGATCGAACCTCAGCCACTGTGCTTTGCCTAAGCAGGTGCTTTAGTCTTCTGAGCTTTCTGGCAGGCCCTCCTCCTTTAACTTTGGCTGTCCAGTATTTTGTTTAATCCCCACTGGTGGGGCCTTTGTCTAATCCCCACAGGATCTTGCACGTGCTATCTAAGTGCATTACCACTTAGTTATATCCTTAACTGTAATGATTTACATCTAGGTTCGCCCTAACACACTCACAGGTGAGGCTTTGGAAGGAGATTGGATACTGGGGAATTATAGCTTGTTTGGGATTAGGAGGTGGGGTCTGGTTAGAAGGGGCAGACACTAGGGGCATGGCCTAGAAGGGTTTAGTTCGCTCTCTTGATTTCTTTGTTTCCCCATCACTAGATGCAAGAATCTCTTTTCTGTTCCACCCCTCTGCCATGCTGCTCTGCCTTGGAGTCAGCCAACTATGGACAGAAACCCTACAAACTATGAGCCAAATTATACCTCTTCTCCTTTCAGTTGTAGGTGTTGGGTCCTATTGCATCCAGGGTGTGTGTGTGTGTGTGTGTGTGTGTGTGTGCGCGCGCGCAGCTCTGCTATCTGAGCAGCTCACTGAGATCAGAAACTCAACACCAATAAAAAATTAAAGATACTTTTTAAAGAAGGGAAGACACTTCATTCAAAAAGAGGAGAAAGGAGAAGATAGATTACTACCCTGATAAATCAAGGTCAGGCACTCCAGAAAGATGGACTACTCAAGGTGTCTTTGTTGCCAACTATCTTAATACCTGGCACTTGTCCTAACTCCATTGGGGCCCTGGGCTATCACGCATGGGTCTCAGGCCCCAATACCTTAACCCACACACCACTGTCTATGTGCACATTCCTCAGTGGTCCTGTTTGTCCTTATCTCTGTAATTTATGAGTTGGTTAGAATGGGCTTTACATCCAAGGTTGAGTCAGCAATTAAGTAAGGCGCTAGTACACCAATACAGTGACCCTAGAATAAGAATACAATACAACTTTGGAGAAAATTAGCATATAAAATAATTTTCTCTTCAGGGGCGGGGATGTAGCTCAGTGGGAGAGCACTTACCTGGCATATACACGGCCATAGGATAAATCCCCAGTGACACAGAAAACAAATGAACAATGTCTTTCCTTTAAAAATGTCTGCAAAAATACTAATGAATAACTGTATTTCGCTGGATCTGTGCTAGATTGTAAAGTGCAACATTATCCTATATATGTATGCGGGAAATAATTTTATCATAATATTAAGTGATCACTGATTGTAGCCATATGCAGACTTTAAAGACATTAAATGTGTGGAGGAAAGATGCGTCTTAGGATCAATAACATTCAGTAGGAAGAACTCTTCTTCATAAATTTGTCCAAGTAAGTATCAAACATTAAGTATATTAAATTGCCACTGCTCTATAGCACATTCTAAACCATTTATCATGTTTCTTACAGTTATTTGAAAGGATGGATGGGCTGGCACTTAAATTAATTCCTGGGAGATATTTTGCACAAACTTTAAAACTTTAGGATTATCAATTTGGAAATTATCCATTTTCATTTGTAGAATCACAGAAGAGGAGAAGATGTGAGTGAGGTCCTGCATAAGTGCCTCTGGGGAGAGGCCCTGGCAGAGGCAAAGGCTGAAGCCAGGATCTTAGAGCCCTGTGCTGTGTTTTCCTCACAGAAGTAAAAGATCAAATGAGTCATTAGAATCCTTTGGTCCATGCCCACAGATAAGATAAAGCAATCGATTAAAAATTATTTATTTATTTATTTGTATTTAGTACAGGGTCTACAGGGTCTCACTACATAATGATCAGCCTGTGTTCAGCTTCCCAAGAGCTGGGATTACAGGAGTGTGCCAGCACACCCAGTCTCAGTTGCCTGCTCAGTGCACCCCAGGGGCGGGGCAGGCATGGCAGGCCAGGAGATTGAACCTGGGCCACTGTACTTTGCTAAAGCAGGTGTTTTAATCTGCTGAGCTAAAAATTATTTATTTTGAAGAGTGGTCTTTCATAAAACTGTGCCCCTCAACTTCCCAGGTAGTTGATAATTTCCCTGATAATTTGCTCAATCAACCCATCGAAGCCTCCATGGTTTTGTTCTATTAGATACTACCTAATTTCTAATAGAAAAAGAAAATGTTTTCTTTGCATGCTCTGAAAGGTGGAAGACAAAAACATGTCCTAATCATCCTAATGACAAACACTAGCTCATGAGGATCTTTCCTTGTGAGTCAACTTGGAAGTTTATGGAAGACCCTGGGAATCACAGAACATTTCAAAACATTTTAGCATTTTGTACACATAGACCTAGGAGCTTTGATCTCCAAGCACTTTGAAAACCTACCAAAGCTGTGCTCTGACAGCTGAATTCTGGTGGGAATTCAAAGAGAGTGACCAATCCATCTTCTCTAAGTATTTTTGGCCTACCTTCTGGCAAATTACCTCATAGGGCAATTTCTACTATCTGAAATATTAATACATCTGAGAGAAATTCATTAGAGACTTCAGCCGTTCTCTCCCTCAAAATATTTCTACTGAGACAAAAAAATTGCTTCATGTTTGAGGACAGTCTAGAGCATATAGTGAGACCTTGTCTCAAAAAACAAGGAAACCAAAAGTATCCTTCTGTTAGAGTGCTTCATTGTATCATTCATTTTAACCACTACAAAATCTATTTAGTCTATTCTTCTATATTAATTCTTTCATTCTCGTCTTCATAGCCTAGAACTAGAAGGCAAAGCTCTCTGGTCTTTGCTTTTTCTGCTTTCTGTTTCCTGGTGATCCAGAGGCGAGGTGGCTAGTTTATACATCACAGGAAATAATACAGCAGTGAATATTGCTGACCCCAAACTTGTGTACAGAACTACTGGCAAATCTGGGTATAGTCCTTGGAGAATTCCAATTACTGCAGGAATAGCCATGTCTCCCAGACAAGAACCAATGACAAAAAAAGCCGCAGATTTCCCACTTATGCTCGTGTACTGCTCCAGCCAAGAAATACCACTGGGAAAGGTGGTGGCCATTGAGGCCCCATACACAGAACTCGCTATCCAGAGACAAAGCGGGCTCTTGTCAAAAAGCACCATGAATAAAGATGAGACCAGGCTGCCGATGTTGCTCAGCAAAATCATGGTTCCAGGCTGTAAACACGTAGCAAAGAAGATCGCCAGGCCCCTGCAGGCTGCGAACGTCCCCCAGAAGATGGAATTCACTCCAGCTGCTTGGCTTTCCTCCATTCCAACGTGGGTGGTTGCAAATGAGAAAATGTAAGAGCCATAGGTGATCTCAGCTCCAACATAAAAAAAGAAGAACACAAAAAGGAGGCAGAGGAGGGCCTTGTGATGCTTAGCTCTTCGATATCTCTGAGCAGATGCTGTTGATTTTTCACGCCTTGAGATTTTCTTGAAAAACAGAGCAAACAGAAAGACAGAAACCACAAAGATGTATAGGCCGACAGAAGCGTAAGCCCACAGTAAGTTCAAGTCATCAGGTACTGCAAACAGAAGGTCTGGGTTGGCTTCAAGTGATCTGTTGAGGGCTGAAGGATGAATATCAGGCTCTGTGTGATTTTCAGTTGACACTGTTGTTCCCAGGGCCAATTTTGCCAGAAGAGGAGCCAAAAATGCACCCAAGGCAAAACTGAAGTGTAAGGCCTGCATGTGTGGGGCTCCTTGGTCTCCCCACAGAGCCAAGATAATGACGTTGGCACCTACCAATGAAAGATGCAAGAAATGAACAAAATTACACACAGTAGCTTAGTAAAAGCAAAACAAAACAGAAATAGCTCTCTGCTATCAGAGGGAGGATGAGTCTGCATTACATGGCTGCAGCTTTGTGATGATCTCAGTTGTTAAACATGGCACTGGGTCAATTCTGTGAGTAACAAATTCTAACCCATTGGCCCCAGAGAACTATGCATTGAAACACCTCATGCATAGGTGGAACCCTGTCAGTGGTGAGCAGCTGCCTCTCAGAACCAGATACATCCATAATTTCTTTTTCTTTAACACTAAAAACTGTATCTAAGGAGGGCTGAGGGGGATATCTGGCCCATTTTTTATTTTGAGGTAGCATCTTACTAAGTTGTCCAGGTTTCCTTCACTTGTGATGTTTCTTCCTCAACCTACTGAGGCAAAAGCTTTTTATAAAATACTGCTAACACTGGAGTGGGGAATAATATTTATAGACCTGTTTATCATCAGATAGCACCAAATTACCAAAGCTTTCTCTACTTGCATTTGGTAGTTACTTGAAGATATCTATCATCTATCTATCTATCTATCTATCTATCTATCTATCTATCTATCTATAATAGATGCAAAACCCACATTCAGGATCCTGAATATGCCAGGATCCTGCTGGATCTAAACTAGGATGTAAGAACACCTTTCAGTAGAGTATCTGCCTTATACCATCAAACACCTACAAGGTGAAAGACAGAAACATTAAGTTTTCAGCTACCCTATGCAAAAATAAAATATTTTCAGGTAAACATATAATTCTGCTTAACAGTTATGGTCTCAACTTTACACGGCCTTAGAGTTTAAATAAAGTTGCTTAAATTGATAACGTAAAACACAAAACAAAACAAAACATATAATTCTGGCTGGGGGTGATAGCAAATGCCTATAATCCCAGCACTTGTGAGGCTGAAGCAGGAAGACCTCTGTGAGTTCAAGGCTAGCCTAAGCTACACAAGCAAGCTCAAGGCCAGTCTGAATCTCACGGTAAGACTCTGTCTCAAAAACAACAACACACACTATATATATATATATATATATATATATGATGGCCATGATGTTATATAATACCTGTACTGCTAGCATTTAAGAGGCTATGGCAGGAAGATCACGAGTGTGAGGCTGGGTTGAGCTATACAGGGAGACCCTATCTCATAACACCAATATATATTAATAACATTCCATGCCATAATTTTACAACCAAACTAAACTTAAACAGTAAAATATTTCTCAAATCTATCACAAAACAGTGCGGGCCACAGAAAGCTGGCATCAGAAGCAAAGAAATTTCACAGACGCTATTTGACAGGTTTTCAAGGGCATGATGATCCATGGATAAGCTTTACTGTCGTTAGGCAGGAACGTGTGAGAGACACAACAGAAAGGGAAGAGAAGTAGTACACACCACAGGTTTCTCTCTGCTCAACATGGGCACTTTTTTGATTGGATGTTTATTTCTATGTTTTCAAAGCCAAATGGTGGTTCCAAACTTGTTTTATCCTATTAAACAATTTATCTTTCTCATTAAATCTGTTCCTCTCATACCTCACAATAAGGTTCCATTTTGAAATGAAAGCCTGCTCACCTGTACTAGAATTACCCACAGGAGGGGCCCTTCTCTGTATTGCTACTATGAAATCAACCATCTCCCATAGAACAAAATCCCTCATGGTCACTTCATAGTGAGCTGTTGAAAATCTGGTGTTCTGAGTGACAAGAAGAGGAGCTGCCAGCAGGTGGCTCTCACTGGGTGGCCCATGAACAACTCGAGAAGTCCATGTCATTTCAAGAGACAAGTGATAGTTTAGTATCAGCTGTCCTACTCCCTCCCCTAGGAGAAAGTCCGCACGCCCAGAGACAGCTCTGGAGATTCACTGACCTGTATCCAGAACACCAACTGCAGCCCCGAAGACAGACATCATGGCAATCAGTAACGTTGCCGTCTTGCAGAAAGGAAAAAGGTAAAGGCCAACTGTGGTAGCCAACATTGACAGCGCTGGGAAGAAAAGGTGACAGCCATAAAAAGCAGTATTCATTTGGGTCAAGGGTCAAGTCAATAAACTCAAAAATGTCAAATAAAGTACAACAAAAGCTGGGCACTCATGGGAAGATAAGAGCTCAGCTGCTGCACGATGTTACATCATCCAAATCCTATATAAGTTTTATGAACTATAAAATATAGTATTATAAAATTGTATTGCCCCTGGCACCATATGCTGCACCAGCGCCGCCCCTAGAGCAGGCTTAGCCAGCCACAAAGAAAAAAAAATGTATTACCAGACAACTCTAGCACTATGAATAATCTAACTGCAAATAAGTTTTATAGCAAAAGAGACAGGGGAAAAAAGTATTCACTTAAATGTTTCATATACAGAAGCCGCAGACCATAGGCAGGCTCCAGGAGCTCGCCTAGTGGCGGTGGCCTGAGATCTGCCCTCTGCCCTCCTAAGCAGAGCTTGAGGTCTCCAGTGTGTGGAAGGCTCAAGAATGCACATACGATGCGATGCTCAGCACCCCCGCAGGGCTGTTTCCAGAGGGCCCAGCATGGGTGCCCCTCGCTGCCCATGCGAGCCACAGCAGGGGGCCTGGCAGCACGGAGGACACCTAACGTACCCATTTCAGTTGTCAGCCATTCTGCAGGCTGCTGTTTTTCATCTGTGCAGCCATATTGTAAATATATTTACAGTCCCAAAGAAGAATATCAGTTTTCTTACCCAAAAGTAAAACATGATTCATGTATTCAAAAAGAACACCACCGATCATAGAGCCACACAAGACTCCGCAGGCTCGGCCCACAAAAATTAGAGAAAGACCGCTGAGATTTTGGTTTACATTTGTTGCCAAATCTTGAAACGTGGGTCCCAGTATACCAACGCTCATTCCCTAAAATTTAAAAAGACAAAATCTTTTTATTTCGAACCGTTAAAATGATGTCTATATAAATGGTAGCTTTTTCTACCATAAAAAAGTGTAAGAGTAATGTAGGGGATTACCTTAAATCCCACAGTCAGGAAAAAATGCAGTGATAGTGTATTATTGCTAGAGATGTAAAGTCCCGTGGCTTCTATTAACCACAACTTAGTTTTTCAAAAACCATTTTATTCTTTTGCCTTTCTTCCTTTTTCTTTTGCCTTTCTATTGTCATTGTTTTCCTTTGTGAACAATACCTTAGAAGGATATGATGTATTAACAGTTAATAAGTCCTATGTGGTGGCACATATTTGTAATCCCAGCACTTGGGAGGCTGGGGAAGAGGATCATTGCAAGTCTCAGGCTAGCCTGGATTATACAGTGAGTTCAACCCAGCCTGAACTACTTAGTGAGACTCTAGCTGGAAAAAAAAAAAAGGTTGATAAGTTGTAACATTAAAATTATGGTTGAAAGAGTTGAATATTTCAAAGTATATTATGTGTACTAACATGAGAATTTAGATGTTAAAAATTTAAATTATCAAAATGGTATTCCCCATTTTTTAAGGTATACAGCAAAAGCAGAATTTCATGTACACATGTGAACTTCTCTGAAGTACACATATACAATCTGCAGGAAAGAAACACTTCGACATTTTTCCAAAGGTACATTTTTCTTCCAAAATCCCAAATCTATCAGGAATGCGGTCTTTAAGGCTTCTTTGGAGAATATTACATATACGTGCATAGGATTAATTTGAACAATAAAATTTTACTCAAAGACAATACATTATCTTGTATATGGTGGTAAGGTAAACTGAGTCTAAGGCAGTCTCACATGTACCAAAGTGAAACATACCTTATTGTATCAATAAACTATGACATGAAGAAGAGCATATTCCTATTGTTTATTAGAAACTAAGGTCAATTAGGTGGGACTCAAATTAGTGCATGCAATTAGTGTGTGTAATTACTGGAAACAAGAGGAAAACTCCGTATGTAACCATAGGAGGAAGAATAAGATGTGCATTTGGAAAGGAAAAGCTTTCCAAATAATGAGGGTTTGTTCATTATTATGGTAAAAAGAGTAATTTTTGTCCTAAAGTAGAACAACTGGATATTCTAAACCAAGAATATGAAAAATACAGGACAAAAATACAGGATAAGAGCATTGTCAAAGTTGTATGAAAGATGAATTGTGGGCTAGGGAGACAGCATGGCAGTCTAAGCACCTGCCTGAAAGATGAATTCTATGAATGGAATTTTTTTTTTTAATATCATAACAATTATTTTATTTTATTTTTTTTCTCTACAGTTTTATTGATAAACATATAGCAATGAGACAGTTTCAAATCAAATCGGAAGTACAGTTTCAACAAATAATACACTGCATATATTCTTCTTAGTGGTTAATTGCTGTACAAGATGCGGACTTGTGATCCTATTTACAAACACCATTAGAACAAATCATTCCAGTCATTAAGACAATGCAACTATATATCTACCCCAACCACTTTGAATACACACTATGAATGGAATTTTATGGGTGATAACAATAGCTCAGACTAGAAGGGAATTATTTAGAAGGTTTTCTAAAAATTGGTCATTAACATCTGAAATGCACTACAAATGGGAACTTGGGGCTATTTCTTAGCTGGCTGATAGGAAATTGTGAAGGATTTTGCACACATTTGAAGTCATTGGACTAGGAAACAAAGATTTTATTTTCCAAGACAATTTCCTGTGCTCATGTTCTCTTTATTAGGATTTTCATCACTTGAGAAAATGGAGTCTGTTCTATGAAAAAAGTTAAGGTTTTTCAATAACTATGAAATTTTCTGTATTTGCCTATGAAGTGTTAATACCACTTTGGTTACATGAAGGACTATTGTTTGAAATGCTGTGCAATCTTATTATGAACCAGTGTTTTAAATCTTTAGTATTTTTAAGGAAACTCCCAAAATCAAACTCTAAATTACTTTTTTCTTGACCTTGAATTAATTTTGGGATTTTCCAGATAAGCCCTACAAATATCTCAAGAAGATATCTCTCTTTATAAAAGAGACTTTAATTGGATTTTATATATTAAATTATGTATATATATTCAAAATTATATATTCAAATATCAGTAATTATAAAACTTTTAGTTATATTTATAGGTATGTTATGTTATTAATATGTTTCAAAAATTGAATGAAGTTCATTGAAACCTAACAGTCCAAGAATATCATCACCAATTCTAATTCTACTTATTAACTTTACCCTGAAGGCATCCTGAACCAGCCAAAAAAAAGCCCATCTACTTATTAACTTTATATATTGTATGAAAGAGCCTGACAGAGTGGCACTGCCTTAATCCTAGTATTGAGGAGGCTGAGGCAGGAAGATGGCAAGTTAGAGGTTATCCTGGGCTATAGAGAAAGATCCTACTTCAAAAGGAAAAAACAAAACAAAACAAAAGAACTCTGTCTCCTTTTTAAAAAAAAAGTATGCAAGAGAAAGAACCAAATTTTCTTGTCACTTGCATCACTATTGTAATAAATGCTCATCAGCTCTTTGACCAAGTCCCTTTTAAGTCTTGTCACTCTTAGGCAGGTCAGTATGTCACCTGATATTTGGCTGAGCCACCATCAGTTTGGAATTCAGGGACATTCGTGAAAAGGACTCTCTCTGTCAAGGGCAGGTTTCAGGTAACTCAGGATCACTCCATTGGCCTGGCTAAGAATTCTCAGTCAACAAACTCCCTGGCTCATCAACCTCAAGCTGATGTTTAATCCAAATTAAAGTGCAGCAAGAATTAATTGTATACTAAGGAAATGACTTGCAGGTTTTCCTGCTGAGTCAGCTAGAGAGGAAATTGTTGATGCGCAACTCGAGCATCCTCTACAAGACTGATCCAGGTCTAATCACCTATCATAACCTACTCAATAAACAGTGCTGTGCAGAGAGCTAGAAAATGTAATGGGTACCAAGAGTGTAAATCCATTGCTAAGCTGCCCACCTGCTTCTTGCTGAGTCTTTCAAGTTTCCATGATTAAAATCACTGCCCTCCCATCCAGGTTTAGTGGTATGCACCTGCAATCTAGCTGCTTTAGGAGACAGAGAGAATTGTTTCTTGGAGGTTAGCTTGGGTGAAATTTCATAAGTCTGTCTCAAAATAAAAATAAAAGAGGGGCTGGAGATGTACCTCAGGGCTCCTTGGGCTCAGTCCAAATACAGTGAGAGAGAGAGAGAGAGAGACAGAGAGAGAGAGAGAGACAGAGACAGAGACAGAGACAGAGACAGAGACAGAGACAGACAGAGAGAGAGAGAGACAGAGAGAGACAGAGACAGAGACAGAGAGAGACAGAGAGAGACAGAGAGACAGACCGAGAGACAGACAGAGACAGAAAGATAGAGGCAGAGAGACAGACAGAAAGAGACAAAAAGAAGCAGACAGAAAGAGAGAGAGACAGACAGAGGCAGAGAGACAGAGACAGAGATAGAGAGACAGAGAGAAAGAAACAGAGAGAGACAGAGAGAGATAAGAGACAGAGACACAGAGAGAGATAAAAGAGACAGAGAGAGATCTGTACTCCAAGACATGGAAGAGGTAAAATAATTTAAAATTAAGAGAAAATATTGAGACAGTACATATTTTTTAATTAAAAACTGTCAATTTTTGGATTGTCAAACTCAATACTGGTAAGAGCAAAAACTTAAAGGGGACCCAAACAGACTTCTGAAACTATATCTGTTGGAGACCTTAAGGTTAAGCTGACTAAAGATATTTCTCTTCATCCTCATTATGGAGATTTTCCTCAAGACTAGGGATTAAGATTTCTCTCCCATCTCAAAATCCTTATCTCCTTCCCCCATTTCCTGCTGCTCTAATCTCTTCCTTATCATTTCAGGAAAATATATAGGGTCATACTATCCGTGACTTCAGTAAAAGCTCATGCTGCTGCAGGAAGCCAGAGGATTTGTAGAATATGCAGCCCAGCATCTCCAAACCAGGGAACCACTGCACCACTGCCAGTGCTGTTCCGGGTTCCCACTCAGTCCTCTTGAGGTCCAAAGGAAGAATGGAAAGCTCCCCTTGATATTGTAGACATCACTGCTCTGAGCTTTCTTTAGAAATAGTACGCTGACCACTCCAAGTAATAACCTGACCACTGCCAAATAGAGAAAAGCTATATGAGAAAAGCAATCTGAAAAACAAAAACAAAGGACTGTGCCTACACAAGACCTAGTGATTACCTATTTGGTCACAAGCAATTGTTTATATGATGTCTCTGCTTTAAAATCAGTCAGAGCCTTTTCCACTAAATGAGACTCTGCATTCTCCCACCAGGCTATAATGGGCGGTGTCTCAGTTACTCTTCTCTCATTGCTTGGACAAATATTCGACACTCAGAATGAAGGAAGGGAAGGTTTATTCAGCTCACAGTCAGTGGAGGTTTCAGTCCATACTCAGCTGGCTCCAAGGCAGAGTGGCACATGGCAGAGAGCAGCCATTCACGGTGGCAGCAAAGAGCAGGGGAGGGGTAGCGGTAACAAAGGCAACAGAGAGCAAGTCTGTCTCCCTTATGTTACATTCAGGCAATCCACCCCAGGCTGGGTGTAGCACTCACACTCATAATCCCAGCAGTACTCAGACCCAAAATCCTAGCGCTGTACCATGAATTAATCACAAACTGTAGAACTGAGCCTCAATGACTGCATGAGGCTTTGCGGAGACAAATACACACAAACCATAACAAGAGGGATAACAAAAAAGACCCACAATGGGCCTTACTCAGTGCTGTGCACACTTACAACAAACATGACTGACCTCCTCAGCTGTCAGTCGGTGACCCTCTTCTCCAGCCCCCAAGGACCTATACTGAGGCTGGAGAGTCTGTAAACACTGTTCAGATGCTTCACTGGTTCAGATCTTGTTCTCTGGATTGACTCGCACTGCCTTCTGAGTAGCTTTCCCTAAAAATTCCCGCCCCTCCTGTACACAGAGGTGGGTGGCAGGCCAGGAGTTCCAAGGCTCTCTAACCTTCATGGTTAGTGGGTGTCCAGGTTCCTATGACTTGTGAGTCATAGGAGTCTAGCTGCACACATGGATACTTATTTGGATCAAGCTGTTTTACAGTCATCCATGGTCCTTAGTCAATATCACTGTCTGAACAAAGACTTTAATCAATTGGGCTACATACAGTTGAGCTCTCTTTATTGTGTGAACTCTGACTGGCTTGATTTTGAGCAGTTGGGCTCATGGACACACCAGTTAAGGGGGTTCTTTAGCTTCTGGATATTACCGATATACCAAGATATCCGTGATGCTGCATCTCCCGAGAGCCATCCTCAAGTCTCCCCAGTGTGTTGTGTGCCCTGAGTTGTTCTCTGTACACCAAAACAACAGAAATGTGAAGCACCAAGAGTCACTCAAATCACTTCTCATTGTCAACTGTGGACTACAGAGTTAGACCCTCTCAGTTAATTATAGTGGTGATAGAAAGGGTCAAGTGCCCAAGACTTCGCTGAAGCCTCAGCGGGGGGAGACTGACCAACAGTATAGACTGTTACATTAGATCTGGCCTGAATCTGCCTGTGTATTTGGGGTACCTAATTTGTCAGCATTGCAACCTGCCTGTTTGTGAAACAAGTAGCTGAGCTGCCAAAGGTTCAGGCAATCCCAGGCTGCATGCTGCTCCTAAATGTGCAAGGATCAGGGAGCTGTGGCTGGTCAAGCTACTTCTGTGTGTCACTTTCTTGTTCTCTGTCTAGACACCGCCAGCCAAGTTCCTGTGTGCAATTTTTCTAAATCTTTAACTCTTTCAGGTAGTGTCCAGTTTCTGAGTCACTGCTTTCTAAAAAAAAGTGCTTGAGTTAGATCCCAGGTACTGATTTTGATCCCTGGTACATAAAAAGAAAAAAAAAAAGTGCTAAAGTGAACTTTTTTGTGGTACAGGGATCGAACTTGGGAACTCACTCTTTCCAGACAGGCACTTATACCACTGAGCTATCTCCCAGGCTAGAATGAATTTTTTAATAGATGTCATCTTTTTAATAGATATCAGCAAGAACTAAGCAATCATCGGCTTTCAGGGGAAGTTCCTTGGACCCTCTGAAAAAAAAAATTGTTTCTAATTCCTGATTGCGCTGAGCAGTTAATACTGTGTGCCTCGGGCTCCAACAGGAGCCATCTGGGGGTGAGCTCCTGGGTTAGCAGAGGCAGCAAGCAAGTCCATTAACTTTGCAGCCCTCTGCTCTAAGCAGCAGAGTTGCTTTTGGACCAGCAGGAGCTGATCAGGACTCAGGATCAGGGTGTGCAAGAGGAAGGAAGGGTGAGTAATGACTCACCTATTACTTTATGCCTTTGAAGGACCTGGCAGAGTGAGATCACCAGGCACTTGCAATGAATTACTTCTTACTCCCCCCTCCCCCCATGCTGCTTCCAGCCACCAAAACATTCTAAGAAACAAGGTGGCTCTGACCGAGATGCTAAGTGACCAAAAATAACTCTGAGAGGGACTTACACTCCCAACTCCCCAGGATCTCAATTGCCAAGTGTTCTTCTCCATGGGAGAGATTTCCACAGATGCGGAATTGAGGGGAAGCCCAGTGGCTTGGCCCAAAAGATGCTTCTAGTCCTCCACACTTAAGGCTCTGAAGGCTCCATGAACACAGGTTTGTGGGCAGAGTAACAGATATTCCTGGCTCTACCATTTAATCAGTAGTTTGATTCAGAAAAGTTACCTTCCTCTCTCAGTCAGTTTTCTAGCTGCAGGATTAAGTGGCTGGCTGAACTTGAACTTAGTGTGGTGGCCACTAGAAACAGGAAATCCCAGAAAACTCACTCTTCTGTGTGATAATTTGGCACGTGGCACAGCAGTGGCGAAAGGCCTGGGCAACGCTTTGTGTGTCTCCCCAAAGCATCAAGGAGACAGGAAATTTTGCTGCAGTTGAAAAACACACTGTACTAGGAAAATAAGCTTCCCACTTGGCTGTAGCCCTCCTGATCACCGCTGTACCCCCGTGTTAGCTGAATAAACCGAGGCCCAGGCAGATAGCTATTGACCCAAAGTGATAGTGTGCAGGGACCAACATGCGACTCTGACTGGGAGGGCCACGCTCTCTGCTGAGAACCTCTGGGCCCGGGAGGGTTGCAACCCCAGCTCTCACCAGCCCCAGGAAGGCGGCATACACGATCACCGTGGTGAACCAGCGCAGCGCGCTCCCTGTCCGGGCGCTCGGCCTGGGCACCACCGCCTTCGGCTCAGGCTCCGGGGCTGCGGCATCGTGGTGTCGCTGCGTAGCAGCCAGGGATCTGGCCGCACCGAACTCTGCTTCCAGCTCCAGCTTGGTGGCGACGGGGAGGTGGCCTTGTAGCCGCCGAGATTTTCTTCGTCGGACCCTGTGCAGAGCCGAGCCCTGCTCTTTCGCGGCCCGCAGGCCCCTCCCAGCGCTGCCTTCTCCCAGGGACAGTCCTGCATCCCTGTCTAGCCGAAGCGGACTTTGGACCACTTGTGCGTTCCGGGAGACCGGTGGCGCGCTCCATCCCAGGAAAAGCCTGCACGGGTCACGTGATAGAAACAGAGGCTTGTGTTTACCAGACCAGAGTTTAACCCGGAGCTAATGTAGTTGCCTGGGAGACCAGAAAGGTCTCAGGGGCAGCATCAGTAAGGCCACCGAGGCCAGTGGGGCCCTGTTTAGTGGCTGAATCAGCTGAAGCTGGAGCTGCAGCCTCCGAACAAAGAATCTGAGGGATAAGTATCCCCAGACAGGTAGCAATGTAGCCACACACTGCAGGGTGGAAGCTCGTGCCCCTGGGGCGAGGGACCCGGAAGGTGCTATCCCCAGATCTCAGCCTTTATTCTTCCATGTCTGAGGTTAGTCGCCAGCAGAATTTATTTATTTTTTTTTTTACCTCTTGGGCAAGCTTTCGTGTTTAACCTCTCAATCCTCACAGTTACACTCAGAACACGATTTTAGACCAATTTCCAGATAGGGAGATTAAGGCACAGAAAATAAAGAACGCCTGACCCAAGAACAGTCAGGGAATCATTGGTCGTGCATCGTGTATAGACTCATAGGGAGACCGATGTCAAACGTAGGATGACACAAAAGGTGTAATAGAGTTTAATAAATGTGCTAAGTACAGTCAAAGAGTCTGCCATGTATGAGAACCTATCTTAGTTTTGGGTGTTTGGGAAAGTTTTTTTTTTTAAATAATTTCATTGAGAAACAAATATCAAGGAGACACTTTCACAACTGATTACTGACACATTTTCAATAATTAATACATTGCATATTGTTGTCTTAGTGGTTATTCATTGTACAAGATGCAGACATGATATCCTGTCTCAAACACTATTATAACAAACCTCTCTGTTCATTGAATTAAGAGAATGGGGTTGTATATCTATCCTAACTTTTTTGAGTATACAGATACAAAAGGGTCGTTCGTTTCTATCCCACTTTTTTGGTTAGTTTTGTCAGAGAAGGGCATTCCATTGTCACTTAAATATTGTAGGTGCTTGAATTCAGCAGAATCTCCCAATATATTTCAGTAGTCCATAATAGTAGTGGATTTTCCATAAGCCTGGCAATGTCCAAAGTTGTTGACTTGAGCTTTTTACAGCTCAGCATATTAATGTGGCTTTACTATTTATGCTTCGTTTTCATACTTTTCTGCTGGATGGTTAAGACCAAGATAAAGCAAGACCTATGTAACAAGAAATGTAACTTTTGTATCTGATAAGGTCATTCAAATTCCCTCAGTATTTAACCTGAAACCATATACCATAGTTTGTAGATCCTTTGTGTCAGCCATATGGATGAGTCACCGCCATTGCTTGACCAATTTGCTCTCTGTGAAAGCCTGAGAGAATATTTTCTCTCCGTGAGACTCTCTTTAGGCACACTCCTCATCACTGATCACATTCCTCTGTGGCCCCATAATCTTCTTGATCAGAAAATTTGGGACACAACTGAGTTACAGGATGTTACAGTATAGGTTCTCCTATGTCCTGAGTGCTCACTGACCTTGAAAGGCTAGGGCCAAAATGTTAGCTGTCCTTGCAGCCCTTCTTTTCCTCTAATTTTTTGTCTGCAAACTTAGGTTGTTAACCCTCCAGAAGAGAATCTTATTATTACTCTACAACATATGCAGTTGGGTTTAACCTAACTGTCTGAATATCAAACATCTTAGGCATAGCATGGAACAGGTATTTTCCATCAAGTATTGACATGTTAAACTTTAAGTCCTGGCAGAATATGAAAACAAAAATTAAAAAAATTTGAAAAAATATGAATAAACAATTACATAATTTTACAAAGAAATTAATCTAACAATATACAGCATTGTAGTAGGACTTCCTGTGATATTCTTTTCCTGTCACTTGTTTTCATTTATTGCCCTTTTTTTTTTTAAACAAACATTTACTGGAGAGACAGTATGGCAGTAATTGGTATGTCTTGACAAGCAGTATGCATTTAGAAGACCAGAATGACAGGCATTCCAAGCATGACCCTACCATTACACATTGCTATCTTCAGTGCAACTGCTTAGTTCACAGGTATCAGCATATATACTTAGTCAAGGTGAGAATCCTACCAATTAACTGCTAGTTTCAAAAACATGCTGCAGAGTCTCAGGATCCTTGCCTTACCCATCTTGTACATATAAATGTATGCCTTTGCCCCTTCATATTTCCCAGCTTTTCTCCTTGTCCTCTCCTCATTTTCCAATCCTCAAGTTCTTGCTTTCCTTTTAATTGTGTTATACCTTTCTATTTGTATTTCTTCATTTGAGTTCTTATACTAGAGAGACTATATGATATTTACACATGTGGTCTGGTTTATTTCACTTATGAGTATATCTTCAAGTGGCATCCACTTAAATATGAAGGCTTTGAGTTTATCACTCTTCATAGCTTAGTAATACTCCATTGTATAAAAATACAACATCTTCCTCATCCATTCCTCAGGTGACAGGCATCTTGGTTGTTTCCAAGATTTGGCTATCACAAATTGTGCTGCTATAAACATAGATACACATATATCACTATGATATGTCATTTTCAGTTCCTCTGGGAAAATTTCCAGTAGGGGGATAGCTGGTTTGAATGGGATTTCCAGTCCTAGTTTTTTAAGGATTCACCACACTGATTTCCACAATGGTTGCACCAGTCTACATTCCCACCAGCAGTGGAGAAGGGTTCCTTTTTCCCCACAGCCTCTCCAACATTTGTCGTTGGTTGATTTCTTTATGATAGCCATTTTTGGGGGTGAGATGATATTTCAGTGTTGTTTTAATTTGCATTTCATGGATGGCTACTGGTGTGCAGCATTTTTTCATATATTTATTTGCTTCTTTAATTTTATTCTCTGAAAAGTGTGTATTCATCTCAGATGCCCATTTCTGGATTGGGTCTTTAAATTTTGGGGCCCTAATGGCTTTTAGTTCTTTATAAATTCTAGAAAGCAGACCTTTTGTTTGAGTGCTTATTAGTCAAGATTTTTTTTTTCAAAATTTGTGATTGTCTTTTCACTTTGTTGGTAATTT